TTGCCAACAATTTTCGAACACTCTTCCTTGATATCAGAAAAAGTAACTGAGATATGTTTGAGTCTGACATTGAAAAAGAAGATAATTTCAGAATCATTGATGTACACCACTGTACGATTCATCGCCCTGAACGACCCCCACGCACGGACATTTTTAGAAACAGCTTCTACCATAACATTTTTGTAAATAATTTTTGGTTTCTGCACCTTTTTTTAGGTATAAGATTACTTGGAGGACTCGGAAAAATTATCATTAGTGACGACAAAAGAAAACATTTAGTAGTCGATCCTTGTTCTAGCCTAATATCGAATAGCCTACATGGCATACTCGAAACAATGTTTCATAGACCTCACCGGAGATTTCAATCCAAAATTCAGGTACTGCCTGCTTGAGTTCTTCTATCGCCAGGAACTGACGAACTGTTCGCATAAATCTTTTTTACATGATGCCCCACAGATTCACCATTGCGTTCAGATCGCTGCTGCAAGCTGGCCACGTCAGTTCTTCGAAAATTCGAGAAAGAAAACAGTCTTCCTTCCACATTCACTCACGGCACCGTCCTGTTGAAAAACGTAGTGAGGACCACGTCGTCGGCTCAGAAATTTCACCAAGTGAAATTGTAAGGCTTCCTGAAAGTCCTTGGAGTCTATGTCGGCGGTTACGAAAGCAAGCTCCAGCCCGAGATTTTTGCGGAAGGCACTCCGTATCCTGACACTCCCTCATCCAAATTGCGAAGACTGGATATCATTTCTACCGGAGGGTGTGAAGATGTAGCTTCCTCAAAATTAATGGAGACTCACCACTGGGACCGAAGAACCGATTGAATCTATGTACACGATTCGCATAAGTTCTTCGATAGAAACAAAATCCTTCTAGACTTTTCACCTTTCAAATCTCGTTAAAACGCACGGTTTTGTAGACTACAATCAGATTACAATTTAATCGAGTCACAATATCAGCTAGTCACAAAACTGGCGTTCTGTTTAGGAGCATTTTGCAAGCCACGGATAGATCAATATTATTTTTATTGTACCTATCTCCCTTTTTTGATACCCGATCTTCCGTTCCCCACCTTCCTCTTTCATCATCTAATCCTTTCTATTAACATGAACCTGAAAAGCCTTATTATGCGGAGAAGTAAACAACACGAAAAAAGCATTGTTCAAGGGGAAGAATGAGACACGATTGATTGCTTGTGAAACATTAAGGCTTTGTAGGTTGGCAGCATGAATAGTAGCTGAGAATTCCAGAAGGAATGACCTACTGCCCGGTTCGTTACATGCCTCATGCAAATACCATTTCGTTTGCCCAGTGGAATGTAAAAGGTTCACGTCTAGATAAACAGATGAAAACAGAAAGTTTCGTTCCTTGAAAATAGCTGACATTCATGAAACTAATTTTCATTGAGACTGAACAAAAAACGTATTGAGTACAAAACAATTCACATACAACATAGAAAGCAGTGCATTTCAATATGATGACTCTTAATAAATATCGAACAGAATAGAGAAAGAAAAAGAAAGCGGTGACTGTTAAGCATCTTAAGCTGGAACTAACTGAAAAATGGATTAGGGTCGTGCAGTGTTGGAATTGATTTCGGAAGAGTCTCAACACGAGGACCTATTTGTGGAATAGGTGGAACAGTGGATCCTTGAGCGGCTCGCATTTCATTCAATGTTGGCGACTTTCGTTGCTGCGAAGCAAAAGGATTCGACGCTGTAGTGCAGCCAATAAGGAAAGGGTTCGCGTCTGAACAAGCTATCAGGTTGCATGCTGAGTGAATGAAGCGTAACACCAATTTCCTTTTCATTACTTCAAGTCTTTTCATAGACAACTTAGAAGAAAAGTGAACACAGCTTGTAAACTCCTCCCGAGGTTCAATGTATGGTATGATATGCATGAAAACCCTCCGGTAATAAGTCAAAATATTTGAAAATAATTACCCAAACATATTCTACATATATTAAATTACATGTGCACCTTACCATATATCTTCTTCTCCCTAGTCTTAATCCCGCGACCGTCGCAGGGTTTGCTTTTCTTGTCAGCCGCCCCCAGACCCTTCTATCTTCGGCATCTTCTGCTGTTACCCTAGCTTCGGCGAGATCCTTCTTGATCACGTACCGCCATATCTTTTTTGGGGCTCCTCGTGGTCGCTTCCCTTGGTCATTACGTGTCCGTACCACTGCAGGCGCTGTTCTCTCATCTTTACCTGTATCTTTAAATGGGGCTACTTGTATGGCCGCTCTGACGTCCTCGTTTCTGACCCGGTCTAGTCGCGTCCAAACGCAGGCCAACCTAAGCATCCTCATCTTAGCGTAATGAAGCTGTTTTTCATGATTCCTACCTGCGGGCCAGCACTCACTGCCGTAGATGATCGTGAGTCTCGCCACTGTCCTGAACACCTTTCCTTTGAAGGCTGGAGCACCGACGGTTGGAGACGATAACAGTGGATTCCCTCCACTTCATCCATGCCGCGTTTATTTGGGTTTCACAGCCTGGTCCAGACTACCGTCAGCGTCTAGATCACTCCCCAGGTATCGGATGTCCTGTACCCTTTCGATGACTTTCCTGAGACCGTCTACGATTAACTCTGTGCTCTCCTCGGAGATTAGTAACTTGGCCTTCTTCACGTTCAACCGGAGTCCATTATCCGCCGTACTTTCTGCCATTTCTGCAGCTTCCCCTGGTAAAGTTCTTTGCTCTCCGCTGTCAGAGCGATGTCAAAAGTGCAGAGGATGGTCTTCAGTGATGCATCCAGGAGCCCGCTTGTGATGACATCCAGTGTGAGTAGGAAGAGGAACGGGCTGAGACTGATCCTTGGTGTACTCCAACCGTGAAGTCTATTGCTTCGGTCAGGCAGTGTGGAGTGCGTATTGCTGTCGTAGACCCATTGTACATGTCTCTGACCCGGAAATCAGGTGTTCCAGAACGTTTCGCTCTCGAAGCGCTCTTTAGAGGGTCTATCGTGGATGAGATCCGGACGAGTTCCTTCAATCTTGAATCGACTAGTTGCCCGTACAGTTTCATTGAGTCAGCAGTCAGTCTGACCCCCCTGTAGTTGGGGCACTCCATCGCGTTCCCTTCTGCTTGATTATGGGAACGATGATGCTGCTCCTCCAGGCATCTGAGATTCTTCTTTCAGTAGTCACAGTGTTCTGGAATCGGATGAGCCACTTAATCCCGTGCTCTCCAAGTACCGCGATGGGGAACATATTAGGAAATGTTGCTTTCCCAGCTTTCGTTTTCCCGATTGCCCTACGCGCCTCACCCTCTGTCCAGAGTTCGATGGGGCCGACCATTGCCTCGAACTGGGGATTGTTCTCACTTGGAAATCCTTCATTTGAAAGCTTGCCGAATTGTTCTCTCTATCTACGCCTGACTTCCCCAGGTTCCCTCAAGTTTGCACCCTCCGTTTTCTTAACGGGTTTCACACCCCGATGTCCCGAGTAGCCCGGTGTCGCGCTTTCGCTAAACGGAAGACGAGTTTCTCTCCATCTCAGTGTTCCCTCCTGCCTCCTTTACTCCTTCCAATTTTGGACTCTTCCAGTTCACGGGAGCAGGAGTTATGAATTTCCGCTCAGGCATTTATTTCGCGCAAAACCCGCCTCCCGTGGCGAGGTGCAACCCCCCCCCCCCCCACGGGAGGCGGATTTTGCGCGAAATAAATGTGTGTGCGGGTCCGTTAGCGTTCTCACCCCGCCACCTGTAGTCCTACCAAATTAGAACGCTTTAGGTCCACGGGAACAGGAGTTACGAATTTCCGGTCGAACACACACATCACACACACACCCATACACATACCCACACCCACACAAACACATACACAAACACTCAGACATTAGCGCGTTATAAATAGTATGAATAGGCCGGAACTTGTGCCATCTCAACGACATCGTTTTTTTTTTCATCCCTGGTTCCCATTGGCCTTCGAATTTTCTAGCCCGCAATATAGCCCGTGGATATACGTAATGTTTACTGGAGAGGGAAACCTGCATTTCTAAGCACACCGCTGTTGCTGCTTCCATGTGACCGTTGAGAAAGCCCGGACTGGAGTTCCCACGAAACTCTGTTTGCTGCGTCGATGAGTAGCTGGAGCATCTTCAAACTATAACTAGTACAGGAAATTGCTATATCAGGTGACCGTGCGTTCATTTTGTTGATGCGATGCATAGTAAATAATTTACATGATTTCACCATGTATGCATATGAATTGCGATTTCCGCACAACAATTATTTTGTTACCATATTTAGCGCACCCTGTGTATTCCCAACCCAATACCCTTCGCCGCATGAGCGAATTATCAATCGGAGATAAGGTAAAAAAAATAAGTATTACTACTGACAGGCAGGGTTTGTTGAAGATACACCAAGAAGATTATCCAAATTTACTAGATTCTTGTTTTCTCCAAGGAAGTTCTCCGGTGTTCTGCGAGCAGAGGAGGCTGCAGACGTACCGACGTCACTCGACGACGTCACAGCTGCTGGCTGCAACATTCATATTACTCTGAAATAATTCAAGTCGCAGTCACATTTTCAATTTACATTAAGCATAGTATTCAATAAAAGGGACAAGCGCAGAGCAGATAGAACAGTTGGAAACAACGTCGTCTAAATGTCGAAATTTTTCTGAATAAAAATTGTGGTAAGGCTACAACACCTGAAAATTTATCATGCTCACTCATATTTAATACTAAGTTACACTCACTGCAAAGAACCAGATATTATTGAAATATGGATACTCGACTAACTTGACTATCCCCCATCCGACTTCTACGAATCTCGGGAGTACTTTCCCTCTAAAAAGTACTGCAACGACCGAGTCAATCACTTGTATCAAAGCATGATCATATGACTGCCTTACGAGGCAGGCAAATATTTTACTAGCTCATAAAAACCTCCTCAGTTGGTTTAATTTTGCAGCTTCGCGCTATTGGGAGAGAATTTCGTGGCCGCCACACCATTCTCTAACACGTGAAACCTTCGGCTTCATTTGCTAAGTATCTCACCCGCATCCACATTCAAGCCTATCCGTAGATATGGTAGACGCGGTGCTCGATGACCGATCACGGGTCTTACGAGATCATTGCACTGACATGGCCTCGGATCCTAATATATTATAGAAATAAGCGACTGCCCATCTCAGGAGACTACACCTTTCTTCCAGGCGTTTTATCCTAATTATTCCATTCATTTTGTACTGATTTTGCACTCCACTTTGTCATGTTCGATAACAGGAGTTGTATTTTCTCTCACATGTCAATCCACAAAAATCGAAGTTGAACTCCATCGGATCAATTGAAACTAGTAAAATCCACTAGACGCTATGGTCTCCAACTTCTCTCTTGTTTTAACCTGAGCATTGTCGTTTAGTTGTCGAGAATTCTTTTGCCGTTCGAGGTTTTTAGCTGGAACATTTTACTAAATTAACGCCCCAACGTTTCGACGTAATCGTCGTCATTAGAGGCCTAAACGTAATTCGAGATGCCTCACATTATCCGACAGCGTTTGACTCTCAGGCAAAAAAAGACCGAAACTCATCCGAAAAACTACCCACTTCATGAAATACTCACCTTGTCATAAAATCCGCTGTCACCAGAGGCAACTGTCAGTAGCGAATGACACTTCTTCATGTCTCACCCATACTGATAGGGGAGATCACATTACGAATTTACTATTCATGAGTCACAGCTCGCAGAGCGGTGAATATGGCAAGAAATCACTAGTTATCGATGGACCCTCATCTCTGTTATTCATTTTGAGTTTTTTTCGGGGAATCTAGAACGCCTCTAATGCCTTTTTTGTTGAAATATATGTCTCCTGTGCTAATATCGTGCACCAATCACCTGTAGGGATATATGGTACAGCCGTTTGTCAAGCACTGTTTATCATAGAGCCGGTTTCGAACCAACTGTTGCTTGATGTTTCTGTTGGGTATGTTCACCAATCGGACAACATCTTGCAGGTCAGCTCTGAAAATGCTCTGCCGTATTGCAATGCTGACTTTATCAGAGATGAAAGGAAGACAAAGTGGTAGTTTCGTGATGCGCGAAGACCCTTGCGTACTGGTATGCCGCCTTCCACGGCTCTGCGGTACCGTACAGCCATTGGCAGCAGCTATTTCGCAAGCCAAACGCGTGACTCGTGAAGCTCATCTTCACCCGTGCAGATACTTGTTGCCGTTCTCAGCATGTTGATGACGACTGCACGTTTAACGGCCTGTGGATGAGTTGGTGGAGCGTTAATTAGGATGTTCTTCGAACTATTTTTACCACTACCTGTACCACTCTACACTAACAACGCCGCTGGACACTTTGACCTGTGTGTTCAGATAAGAATAGTCTACGCAGTTCGAAATGGACGAGCGTTTTCTACTTAGGAATGAACTGCGACAGTACAAACTCACGCGAGAAATACTTATTTACAAATGCCCAAGGTGAGGAAAACACTGGCATGGATTGGATAAATATTGATTGGTCAACCACGATTATATGCAGCGATTAGAGGTCAACTAGGGCCAGTGAGAAGAATGCGATCTGTTGTAAGCAAGCAGTTCTTGTCACTGGTTTAATTTCAATAAATTCAATGTACAGCACTACCACTCCGTGTACCCGGGAACAAAACATGGACGCTCGATGCACCGGAGATAAACTTGCAGTGATCTGCTGTCTTCCAGAGCGTGGACAGTTGGTGAAGGAGCCCATTTCTGTTCTCCAAAACTCTGAGAGAAGGGAGGTGTTCAGCGATTTGATGAGGTTTCCATTCAGCTCCTACACAGTTTTGCTTACAGCATAGGAAGGACTTGTACCACATGCTTGCCGCTTCCGAAGGACACAACAGGGAAATTCACGAGACAGGCAAAAAAGTTGCATTGAGGCCTAAAAAGACCCATGCCATAATTCTCAAGAGAGGAATCCAGTAAAAGCGTAATTTTTTGAGAGGATGAGAAGCGCTCAAAAAGCAACACCCCGTGAGTGTTGTGAGGACAAGGGGATGCAAAAATGCTATAATTGTGATCGTCACTATAGCGCCTTCAAACCTACAAAACCACTTATATTGATCAACCATCTGAGAGACAAAGGTTATAAATCAATGAGAAACGGAAAGGAGATCATGCTCTCGAGAAATCACTCCCTTATCTTGTAGAAGAATGTTGTAGGATGGTCCGCACCCGGAAGTCACCTGCAGTATCAGGCATAAAGGTGGGCCTGAAGCCAACACTTTACGATGCAGAGATCTTCAGACCGAAGTCCAGAGTATTGAAAGAGACGCAATCAGTGATCCCCATACTTCCACGATATCTGCTCAAGTAAGCTTAGATTCAAGACTTTGATTATAGTCCAGTGAAGAGTTGAATCGTTAGGGTATAGCTTTTTGGTTTGGTTTTGGTTTTTTCTCATAAGGTTTTTGACGCATAAGGCAACAAAAAAGTCTGTTACAATAGTAAGCGTCTAAAGGCACAGTTCACGAAAAAAGTGGTTTCTGTGATTTCCAATAGGATGAATTCGAGGCCCCTCCTGATACCATATGTGCCAATGTCAGGTCGGAAAACGTCTGGATAGGGTACGACAAGGGGCCAGATATTGTATCGTGCGAATGCCTTGTTCACGGCAGACGACTTTCAACGGCTTTGTAGAGGTGACAGTATCTTAAGAGACTCATATGTTGGAAACTCAAACAACTCGAGCTTCCAACATGACCCTCCACTGTCGTCATGACCTATGACGACAGTGAAAGGAAGTTTCAGACAATTTTGACTTGATGTAGTAAGCTCTTTTCGCAGTTGCAACATTGAAATCTCGTCCGAATACCCCTTCCGTGCCATTTCCGTCACGGTGATACCGTACGACCTCTACTGCACTACTTTTAGAAAGCTTGTCTTTCACAAAGTAGGCGGATTTTTTCCGCTTTCTTCGCTATCCTGCACTACTCTACATCAACACTTCCACTTTTTCAAAAATGGCATCTCAAAATGATCGTGATCTGTGCCTTCAAGGAGTGCTTAACGTCCGAGTAAACATGAATGTACAGTGGGGCAGAAAGAAACCCTCTATTTCGGAAGCTGACGACCTTTGTGCTACGGAGAGTTGTTGCTTACCGCAATGACTCTATGCGCACCAGCACAGAGCCATTGCTGTAGGGCAACAACTTTATTACAACATGAAAAAGCGGTCAAGAGGACAGTTATATTACCCGGAGGTGCAGCAAAGATTGAGCAAGAAAACTTAAAGATGTTGGGGTTTTTCTGGTCCGACGATCCCCGTATTTCATAGGAAGTATGTGTTTCCAAGATAGGCAGCACGGAAATCTCTTGCAAACTGAGAGTCTTAAACCTGGATAGTTAATAATAAGGGTGAGCCGCTCGGGGAAAAGTCGGATGATGGTGTCATCAGGTCTCCTAAAGCTGCAGACGTGTCAAGCGAAATACTTGACATGGAGAAACATGTTGCCTCCCCTAAACCCGAGTGGGTGAAATTTTCGATTGATTCGATACAACAAAATCATGGATAATTGGAATAATAATATAATAATAATCATAATCCAGGATAATTGTCAAAAGAGCTCGTGGGAATTTACAAAAGGTTCCATGGAACTCTTGAATTAGACAATTCTAAACTTTAGCGAATCAATTCAGTAGAACATGGTATTGATGTGCAGGGACATGTACCCATCCGTCAGACAAAACGTGGTCTGTGCTGTAAGGCGTGAGAAGGCAAATAGACGTTTCTGGAAAAAGAATCGAAGGATAATTGAGAAGAGCCAGTCATCTTGAGCATCCCCGATAGTGTCGATAGCTAAGATGGTAATACACGGTTGTGGGCTGAACATAGGGTGGTGAACAAAGTAACTGATAAAAACTGATACACCCTACAACCGACTGATGTAACCCTTCGAAAGCTGCAACGAATGAGACGGTTTTCATTTGTTGATGTGGATTCTGACCTTTGGAAAGTACCGCTACCAGAAAAAGCAAAAGAAATAAGAGTTTTCAAAACAGCTTGTGAATTGCTCCACTTTAATGTAGTGCCATTTGTTCTTACGTACGCACCTGTGGCATTTCAGTGATAGATGATCGCGTTCTTGGTAACCTGAAAGGAGTGAAGTCTCAGTTATTTTCACGATATCCCTGTCGCACATGAAACTGAACAGCGCCATCTAGAGGTGTTAGGGTAAACGCACGACGCGTTTTCTGAGGCCAAACTGAAGGTGGAGCCTCAGATATCCCGCCTAATGCAATGCAGTACAGACTTGTGGGCTATGTTGTGAACAAATATAATTTTAAAAACCCTCGACGATACACACATCGATTGGAACTATGCCGTACCGCGTAATACTGATCACTTGTGAACAATCTTGGGAACGGCGGGCCGTTACCGCATGAGCTAAGCTGAAATCGCTGAGCCATTAAATTAGGTTGAGTACGAAGTTTTTGACCGACTCCTTATCCCTTTTTAGTCTCTTTCCTAGGGTCACTCGGAAGAATCTCGTAGTAGGTTATGGTTAAGCGATCGCGAACCTGTTGTTTAGGGGGATGAATAAGCACGTCCTTGTGTTTCGAAAATACGCCTTCAACCTTCAACTGTCGACCGGAGCTGTCTGAGAGCTATCGTCTATTACGAATTGCGTTAGGGCATAATCCATCCACGGCTGATTCAGATATATGTGGTGCACTCAGAAGACATCACAACTCAACCCACGGGTGCCTCGTGACGGCTACCTTCAAGGCAGCAGAAACGTTAACTACATCCAAGGAAGGTTTTGCTGTGTCGTTGGTGGGATTCTAGAGGAATGCTTCACTTTGAAAAACCTTCTGAGGGTTCCCTCGTGCTGCCGAGATTTACGTTTCTCAGCACCAGAATTTGGTCAAAATTATTCGAAGAAAGTGTTCAGAGCGACGAGACGTCTGTTTTCTTCAAGACAGCACTCGGCCGCATGTTGCGGAACTGTCTCGCCAAAAGATTGCCGAACTTGGATGAGGACGTGAATATGAGACTGCCGAGAAGTGCTGCTCTATCCTACTTATTCACCAGGTTTTGCTCCTTCCGACTAGCATTTGTTTCTTGCTCTGAAACATCACCTTCAAATTTGACGATCGCTCGGAACTCAAAATCGAGATTTCCAGGTTTTCCGAAACGCGCCGCAGCACTTCTGGGTTTCGGGAATCGGGAAATTGCCGGATTACTGGACACGTGTTGTAGACATCGATGAAGACTATATTAATCATCGATATTCTTTTTAATGAAAATAACCTTAACTAATGAAAATAAGAGCTTTCGAAACGAAGATTAAAAGTAGATCAAAACTTTTTACTCAACCGATACAAGTTACTAATCCTAAGACCAAATCTAACTAACCAAAACCAAGACGAACAGGATCATTAAAGACTAAAACCCATTAATGAACTGTACCAGGGCTGCCTACCGTTGAGGAGGCGTTGAACAGGTGCCGCTCTTTTATTAAGTATAATGACGCCAGTAGGTTCAGCATTGGAGCTGTATTAGCTCACGAAGGAGATAAAGAGTCCCCACACCCATTTTTCTTTCCTCTCAAATCGTTTTCCATTGCAGATCGCAATATCATGTAAATGAAAAGAAAGCTTCAGCACTGATTCATAACCCATAGGAAATTCATT